TGTTGAGGGGTCAGAGACATTGCTGGAAATACAGGTTATATTTGAGGGAGGTACTATGTGGTGTGCTAGCTTCTCTTGAGCTCCCATAGCTAAACTGCAAAAATCCAGATGTCTACTAGATGGCTGCAAAACAAAATTGGTAATTCTAAAATTCTCAGGGTTTTTTTTTTTTAATTAAGAGAATATTTTTAAAAAGGTGGAACAGAGTACTTCATGAACATGAAGGAATATGTTGACAGTCATTCTGCCGCCCCTGAGGAATTCAGAAATTAATGTGGACCATATAGGACAGTGCTGCATTGCCCCTAATATTTTTTTAAATGTCTTTTCCGTTTTTGATATGACACTAACAGCCTCAATTTCAAGAATGGAGGATTAATTATTTCATTTGTTTTACATTTTCTTATATGTCATGTTGATTCTGTCCTTAACAGTTCTTCCAGATGCCCAACATCTAATTCTAGTATACATGATGAATTTTTACTTAACTTCCTAAATTAATGCTCAATAAATTAATGACTGTGGAGAAAGGCCACTAACCTTTCCTTTTCTAACTTTCTCCTCGATGGGGTGGGGGCAGGCAGAATTCAGCAAGCATTTGGTATCTCACTGTAGACTCCAGCTGCTTCACTTCTGGACTGCCTTCTATTGCATTAATGTGTTCTTATTTATGAAAGATTCACTACAGTAGTCATTTTGCAGTTATATATTCACATAACCAAGGCTGCTTGAATTTATGGTCAATTACCTTAGCTAGCAGAAAATAGAGTTGTTGATATAACCATCATTCACTTTTTGGAATCCATCTAGACTATAAATCCATCTAGACTATATTTGTGCCAAGGTGCTTATATATCCTTTGTTTGGTAATGCATATTAAAAAGGAAGAGAGAAATAGCAAAAAACAGTCTTTTATAATGTAAGATACGTAGTACAGATATTTCTGGTTGAATATATTACAAACAGATATGTGAAGTACAAGCAAAATATAGTTATTGCCACATCCTTCATTTATATAGAAATAGACATTCTATGCTGCCATCTACTGGTAGTTAACTGGAAAGCTGGCATGAATGAGGCACATAAATACACTCTCCCCCCCCCCCCCCCCC